ATTGGCGTTTTAAGGATCCACATGCAGCTACAGACTCGTCAACGAAAATATACTCGATGTTTCGGTCCTACGTGGAGGAGGGAGACTTTGCAGGTGCAGATATGGCGAGGAAGTTTATTCAAATGGGATATACCCGAGCTAGGCGCTATGCAAATCGCAAGGGTGGGAAGAAGTACATTTATGATTCCGATGATGACAGTAGTGCTCACGGTTACAAAAATCGAAGAACAGAGATTAAACGATTGGAGGAGGCAGATCAAGACCCGGACAAAGTCGAGGCAGCGAGGATCTTCAAAACGCTGCTAGATGAAAAGGTATGGACCAATGACGAGTACGTCAAAATGAGACAAAAACATATTGAATGGGCGAAGAATCAGCCGACTTTGCAAAAAGGTAGTGCAGAGGTACAGGAAGCATTGCTACCGGATCCAGCGAAGGAGAGAGAGGTGAGGAAGTGGTAAAGACCCTAAGGCCCCTGGATCTTTTTTTTCTCTCTGAATGTGTTAGTAATGCTGTAGAGTAACAATTGCGAAACATGGCCATGTCGCGTAAAGCGAGCGCGCGAGGTGTCAAGATCTGCCAACAGAAATTAGGAAGCACGGATCAGGATGCATTCCGCATCGCTCCTTGACCCTGTCATATCTACAATTGAGGTCTGAATGCTGTAAAGTATAAGCTTTGGAGGCAATATGACAGACGCAACATCCCCGAAAGCTTCAAAACCCAGCTGGCCCTCCGCACAAGATGGAGAAGGTGTAAAAGACGGGTCCATCGCAGCACGAGGAGAGCATGAAGCGCAAGAAGGGCAGGAGAATGGAGGCGGCGAAGGCGAAGGCGAAGGCGAAGGCGAAGGCGAAGGCGAAGGCGAAGGCGAAGGCGAAGGCGAAGGCGAAGGCGAAGGCGAAGGCGAAGGCGAAGGCGAAGGCGAAGGCGAAGGCGAAGGCGAAGGCGAAGGCGAAGGCGAAGGCGAAGGCGAAGGCGAAGGCGAAGGCGACCAAGATGAACCAGAATACGAGTCATCGGATGATGACGGAGCAGGAGGACACGTTGGGCTCTCATACTTGCTCGAAGACGTAAGTGATACTTCTTCCTTTGCCCTTTCTCACACGTTGATTGTCGCATGCCGACCATTCTGTAACTCACCTACTGAAACTGCGTCTCCAATGTGTACAATCCTCAGCATGATGAGGATGAGTCAGAAGACGAAGACTTTCGCGGATCGCAGGAGGAAGATGACGCAGATGACGATCCAGGTAAGTTTTTGCCTTTCGTCCCACTTTTCAGATTCAATGTCCATTTTCCCTTGCTGAGCTCAAACTCAAATATTATCTTGTTTTGCTCGATTCTCCCTTCGTTGGGAACTCGACGTCGCTGTTGCTCCGCGTGTAGAGATCCAAGAATCCGACGAAGAAGACAGTGTGCCTGCTTCGGCAAGTACAAAGCGTAAACGAACTCAGCAATCAACTTCGGCGAGCAAGCGCTTCAAATGAGACAACTCTTGACGTTTTGTCTCCACTACTGCCAGACACTCTCAACACTCTCGAAATACGACACTCTCTTTGCTCGATGTATAGTCGAATTCATTCATTGTCATGAGCAAATATGGTTATCATGACAAATCATGGCAAAACTCTTCAGATGATCTGGAGTTTGTCTAGCTGTTCATGATCTTGTCAGCAGCCATCTCCGCAACACCGTAGAGCGTAGAACTCAAATGTGCGCTGACTTGGACTGGCAATACGCTAGCATCCACCACCCTGACGTTCTGTGTACCATACACTCGGAAGTTCTCGTCAACGACTCCTCCCATTTCCTGTCTTCCCATGACCGCCGTACCTAGCTGGTGGCTTACAGCCGAATAACCCGAACCACCGCTGTTACCCAGGATCCATGATTCCCACCTGCTATAACGTCCGCTGTATGTTCCATCGGGGATGAGATTGAATCCAGGTGTTGTCTCTCCGTTATATGTTAGCTGCTTCAGATTGTCGTTCTTGAGAACTCGTCGAGAGGCACGGAGGGAAGCCACTTGCATATCCATGTCGATCGGCAAGCCAAAGTAGTTCGGGTCAATTTGAGCATTGTCGAAAGGATTTTGCGAAGTAGCACGGATGGAACCACGAGAGAATGGCAAAAGCGTCCAGATGTCCAAACCATACGAGTTAGCCGGGAATCCTGTGTCGAAAAAAAGTTCAACTACCGGTACCTTTTGGTCAAAGATGAGGTTGATCGCACTCTCCCACTGCGCTTTGACGCTTTCGGCGGAAACGACATGTCCCTGAGAAACGAGCTGCGAAGCCCAACTGTCGAGGTTGGAAGAAATCCAAGAACGAACTTCAGTGGAGTTTGAAAGAATCTGATCAACGTTGGGCATCGCGATAGCCGACGAAGGTCCTCCTCCGTTTTGGTTAACGTTGGCTTGAGATCCGATCGTGGTCATTGTCTGGTCTTGGAGGTTCTTTCCTACACCTGGCAAGTCGATCTTTTGGTCGACGCCGATGGAGTCGAGATCGGACTTGGCTCCGACACCTGATCGCTGGAGCAGGGTGGGAGTATTAAGTGCACCCGCGGCTAAGACTACCTCTTTGTTGGCCAAGATTTGAATTTGGTCCCCATACTGGCTCTGCTGCACGATCACCCCAGAAGACTTTCTGCCAGAGGAGGAGGATGCGTCCCAAAGCAATTGCTTAGCGCGAGTGCCTGTGAGCACGGTGAGGTTTTCTCGATCCTCGACTGGGGTATAGTAAGCAGTGGCGGAAGAGATGCGCTGTCCATTGACATCGATAGAATTGGGCGTGTAGGCAACACTGTTAGCCTGGCCGGAACACTGGTCATCCACGTGCTGAACACCAAGTGTCTCCCCTACAGCGCTGATAAAGGCTGCTTGCTGAGGGCCGGTGTACATTCGACGCCATTGCTGTGACGTTCCGCCGATGTTTCGTTTGCGGTTGGAATTGCTTCCACGGATCTGGGAGAAACCAATGCCCAGTGGGCCATCAGTGCCGTGGACGGATGGGTCCCATCGAGCACCGACGTCTTGTTGAGCTTGATCGGGAGCGACGAAATTTTCGCTCTTCTTCATGTATCCTAGCAACCCATCCCAAGACCACCCACTCGAGGTCGAATTGAACATGAGGGGGCCCAGTGCGTCATATTGCGCCTTGGACCCACGATTCCAAGCTGCACCGTTGATAGACGTAGACCCACCGAGGGTCTTACCTCCTTTAGGTTCCCGGGTACGACCACCTACTTGAGTGGTAGTGGTGAAGGAGTAGGACAGATCCGTGCCGAACGCTTTTCCATAATTGTCCACGTCATAGATGTCGGCATTGGTTCGATCGTCATTACCAGCTTCGATTACGAGGACAGACGCAGAGGGGTCGGAAGACAGACGATTGGCCACCGTCAGGCCAGCAAGTCCACCTCCGACCACGACGTAGTCGTACGCTCTGTTGGAGAGTTGCGAAGCGTCGGTCACGATGGCGGCCGTGGCCGAGGAAATTGAGAGCAGTACGAGGCCTGTTAGAGCCGCGAATGATCGTGTGAGCTGCATGGTGCGTAGAAATGTCTTGCGCAAAGAAAAAAAAAATACTGAGACTAAGGTGTGTTCGAGTATAATGAGTGGTATGAGACCTTAAATCTTTGGAGGAGGGAGTTCTTCTGATGTGACAAGGGTGTGCCGTATATATGTCTTGGAATGTTCATCGGACTCTGGGATTACCCACTGCATCAAGCATTGTGAGAAGGATACAGATAGTGTATAGGGCGGGACGGTGCATTCACCCCACCATGTCACTCTAGATCACGTTTGATGCTCTTACAAGAATGGACTTGATACCATGATTGCCCTTGTTCCAAAATTGCTGTGCTGTGCGTACGGAGCATCCGCTCCAACTTCAACGCTACGGGAAGCCACGAGGGTCAAAGTGAGCCCAGGTGCCGACCGTACCACAATTGAAACTACCATATCCTTGTCCATGTTGTGCCACTCTTCGTGCTCTCTGCCCACAATCTCAACCCACGTTTTCCATTGTGGCTCAGAGTGGGTTGTTTGGGAGCTGCATACACTAAGCGAGGTCGTTTGAGTCTCAAGCTACTCGCCAAGAACGTCGGACTTCCCCAATGTAAAACCAATGCGAGTGCTTTTCGGCTTCTGCTGTGTTTCACCTTCCGAGACGGCGGTCTGAAATGGTATGATGACGTTCTGCAAAAAAAAAAAAGGTACGGTACGGTACGGTACAGTACAGTATATGCGTCATAAATGCTATTCCACGTCTGCATGAGCTCAGCCATTCGCTTAAAGCTCAGTACAGCGGAGGGTGGCGAGCTGTGATTCTGACAATGCTGATTTGACTGCATGAATCGTCTGGCGCCCACCAAAGCCCTGCGCCACTTTGTTTCTCCCCTCTGTACTATCAACTCCGGTCCGCCGTTCCGGTCGTGCCTGTCTGTCCTTTGGTCCTATTTTGGGACTGCGAAAAGTCAGGAAAGGAGTCGAAGCGACAAGCTGATGAATCTGAGACACAAACACTCAGGCCAACGACCGATCAGTCAGAAAGCGGAATGGGACGGGGAACCCAAAAGTGCAGAATTAAACTTTCGCGTTCGGGTTCCTGTGATGCACCTGCCTAGTTTGGACATAAACAAAAAAAATTACATGTAAGCGAGTCTGAGTCGGACCTCGACGGCAGAACGGAGAACGATGTCGTTGCATCATCGAACGTCGATCTTTTCATCCCAATTCTGTCAGGCCGCCCCTCGTCCTACATTGCATCTCACTTGGAAAGCTGTGCTCAACGACTAGATTTCGCCCGGCTACAGTATCCGTCAAGCACATGGAAACACGTTTCCAAGATCGTCGAATCAGAGAAATTTCTCGAAGATACTCCTCTCGCAACGAAAAGATGTTTTGTTCCAAATCAAGGTTCTGAAACGACAGCCGCACTACAAGCTGTTAGTCACCGCTTCATACTCAGGGTCCAAGCACTAACAAAAAAAAATTCCCGGCCAGGGAATCGAACCCTGATCTGAGCAGTTCCTCAGCTTTGAGATAATGCTTACAATGTGAGAGTGCCCTATACTAACCATTGTACTAACTGGGAGTTGAAGTGGGGCTGATATTACTGTTATATAATCCATCTGGTCTACAGAGAGTTAGCGAGCAGCTGCCGCCGAATATCACGATGTTGACCGCGAGGCCTAAATCCCACACCTCGTTGCTTCCTTTGTTGTCAGTGCCCTGCCTGTTCTTTCCAACCCAACACCTTCAAATCTGCGGCTTGATGGGCATGCTTTTATATGCGAAGTTCTCAAAAGTCTCTGCTTCTGCTTTCTTTCTCACGCCATCGAAGCGGCACGCCAAGCAAGCCAAGCAAGTTCAAGAGACAGCCTGAAGCTGATCATGGGATCGTATAGTTCTAGTGTTACAATTTATTTATCTTTGATTTTGAGGCCTCGATCCATGAAAGTGCGAGCAGACTGAACGAGTAACAGTCTGTAATGCCTCCAAAGCCAATGCATGGCCGAATGATAGTACATCCGAAAGTGAGCTTCCAACAGCCTGTTTGGCGCACAGGACCTAATCATTCCCAACCGGAAGCATAAGGATTCGCAGCTTGTCCCTGATACCCATTAATGTCGCCCATTCCCCTGTTGAATTCCATACCTCCATTCTGCCCCGTTCCTTGCCCACCATATGGATCGATCATACCATTCTCCATAACTCCTGCATCTCCACCCGGTTGTTCATCCAGCATGCTCAGCTCTTGCACGATTTGCGCCACCCTATACTCCAGCAAACCCAACCCTGTCTCCACAATCTCGGCTGGATGCATCGATCCACTTGCCTCTACGTCAAAGTAGAATCTGTTGGCCTTCCTGTTGTAGTCGAACGGCGCACCTTCTTGTGGTGGCTCCTCCAGCTCTGCATTCGGCCCTTCAGGCCATTCCTGTTTTGCGTCGAACTCGTACCAGTATGTAGTGTGTCTCAGCGAGTTGTGAGGATCATATTCAAATCCGACCGCAGAGCAAGGCGACCACTTTGCATGTTCTTTGGCGAAACCTTTTCGAGCGATGCAGCGGATATGGAGTTCCTGACCCTTTGACATCTTTACTAGCATGATGGGAGGGATGGAGCCATCGTGACCGACAGGTCGGCCGAAGTCGGGGTGTTTGGGGGCTGCCGGCTCGGTCATAGCGTCGTCATCGTAGATGGTGGCATTCTCGATGGTATCCGAGCGAATAAGGTCACGGGATGTGACTTCAAGGTTGCCACGAGTGGTACATCGCGCTCTTAATGTCAGCTCCACTGAGCATCTGTCGCAGCCGTCCTCACAGGCACAGTCCTACGAGCGTTGCGAATGGGTAAAAGTCGGTGGTGAAGAGGTAGTTGGTGGTGGTGGTGCAAGCGATGTAGATGGCGTGATGGTACGCAGAGGTTTGTTTGTGGTGAGAGCGTCGAAGGCAAAAAGTAAGATAGGAAAAGGGGGGAAAGTCAGTAAGGTTTGGCACAGAGCTAAGCAAATACAAGTCTGAGTCGGACAGAAACGTACTCTGTGATCAACCAGAGCCTTGGCGCAGTCCATGCTGAGTAGGGGGACCATGCCGAGCCTATGCGCCAAGAACTCATCTGGAAGTACCGTTGTATTGTTCCTGATCTCCACCATGTCGATTGCTACTGTAGGAATATCGGCAATCATGATTCTTCTGAATGAGTTGGCGAACGAGAGATCGACATTCTCGAGTATAAAGTTGGCATGATCACGATTGAGTTGGCGCACGGTGATCTTTGGCCTTGATGGCGTTGCTTCATATTGACCATTCATTCTGTCTCGATATGTGCAACTACCTTGTGCCGACAGCGATTTATGAATCCAGAAAGAGGATCGAGTCGTGGGAAATGCGGAGCGATTTCGAACAGGCGCTATCGACCTAGAGATGCGATTTCGAGGATGCTCGCAGACGGACAGATCGCGAGATGATCTGCGTCAGATTTCGGGCACAGGCGATTCCAACGAGAGTCCTGTGGAAGGGAATGGTGGGATGGTCAAGACTTGCGAGGACGGAGGTAAGGAAGTCGGAGGGTGTTGTTGGCCTGCAAGGTTGAGATGTTCTCAACTGGCGACCCCTCGTGGAGAAGGACGCGTCACGTGCATCTGCGCTTTGTCGGTCTAACAAGCAGGATTTTTCTTGGCACCCGTGAGCCCTTCCTGCTTCGGAATCGCGGACTGTATTCGAAAATGATCACGACTGTTCTCATATAGGGCTCACTCGAAAGCTTGTTGCGAGGAAATCATCATGTATTAAGATTAGAATCCATGAGAGGTCCAAATCTTGAAATCACCCGGAGCAAAAGCACCCGTCCGACCCCTGTTAGTGGCCGCATCATCCCTGCTCTGCTGTGGCTGTTGCTGAGTCTGCCTCCTCGAAAAGGTATTCAAGGGAGGCAGCCCCGAGGAATTCTGCTGATTTTCAGAATTTCTCTCGTAAGCGAGCACCAGCTGCTTAAGCTGCTTCCTCTCCGCCTCTTCCTTCAGCTGTTTTGACCTCGTGTTGATCGCAATCAACGACGTGCTCGGCACCTGCATTTCGTGCGTGACCTGCTTGGATCCCTTCTTGGAGAGCAAAGAGAAATTCATATGCGCACCATTGTCTCCAGGCTGTTCCACGGGCTTCCTCTTTATCGGCAGGCCGATTTCCGAGAGACCAGATGCAGAGGGATGTGCATGAGGGTGCGAGTGTGAGTGACCGTAACTCGCGTTTGTCGAGGAGAGACCGCCACGGGTGAAGAGGTGAGCGCTGCGAGAAAACGTCGATGAGTTGGCAGACGTGATTGAAGCTGGAGCGGCAGCAGAAGAGCCAAACTCGGCCATCATCTTTGCGAGCTCGCGGTCAAATTCGTCATCAGCCTCTTTGCGGATTGCGAGCTCTTCGTCTTGAAGATGACGGCTGACTTCAGGCTCTTCGTCTGTGTCATTGTCTTCTGATGGCGAATCCGAACCAGAGTGTCCCGATGGAGATGCGTTCGAGTCTTCAGATGAAGAGGAGCCGGATGATGTTGAGGAGGAGGAGGATGAAGTGGCAGAAGAGCCATCGCTGCCAGATGCATTGACTGCATTCCTCGCGTGACGACGCTTCTCGCCGCCATTAGCGGTCTGACCATCACCCCTCGCAACACCTCGCCCGTCGTCCTCATCATCGCTCTCGTCATGGACCCCAGCTTGCGCCTTGATCTGCCTGTTTGTATCCATCATCTCCTCCAAAGCTACTGCTGCCTCTGCAAACGACTTTTTGAACTTCAAACCCGGTCTCAACGTCTCCAGCGTTTCGGTGAGCATGAAATCCACATCCATCGGCAATGGCTGCTTCTTGCACAGCACATACACGTTGAAGAATACCAGAAAATCGTCCAACTTCTTCTTCAGCGACCCTCTATCGAAGCAGACACCACATGTGTCCAGCAGGGTGCAGATCAATCGAATCCTAAAATAGTCGTCGGGCGCATCCAGCGGCGCTACCTGCCCGGGCCAAGGGCGACCGTTGAGATGACCAAACGTGGCAAGTGACCAGAGCTGTTCGAAGATGATGCCGCCATTGATAAGACGGTAATTGTAAAGCTCGCCGAGATAGCAAACGGTAGCAACACGGCGCTGGTTATGGTTGAAGATATTCTCTTCCGTGCCGATGCGGACGTTTTCAAGCACTTGATCGATGACTTCGACTGCGAAAGCAGGGTGGAATCGGTCGAGCTCGTACACGAGAATTGCGAGAAGATGGATATTGGAGTATCGAATCTTCCAGGACCGAGTGAAGACATCTTTCAGCCATCCAGACACCTCTGGGTTATCCCAAGGGAGCTTGCGAAGCTGAACAACTACGCTGTCGACCGTCTTCTTCTGTAGGACGTTGTGAACGAGGTGTCGGATGTAGAGCTCCATCGGCTCACGCACTTTCTGCTCGATGGCTTTGCGCTTGGGCGGGTTACATTGATAGTAGGCGTTGTTGAGCATGAGCAACTGTCGAGAGTCCAAATTCGTCGCAGCGCGCTTGCGACGAAGCATGTCGAGCATGCTACGCATCTTCGCCGATGTCTCCTCCGTACGCAGCAGATACCTTCCGCATCCCTCCAGTAAATAGGCGAGCATTTCGATGTTGGGTCCCGAAAAGTCCTCGAGGCACGTCTTGAAGCAGTGGAAGATGGCGTGTGTCGGTGTTATCTTGAACTTGGTGAGTTCAGAGATGAAGCGAGCGTTCTTGGCTCGTGTTTCTGTAAGGTCGACGTTCTTCCTACGCTGCAGATAGCGGAACTCGTCTTCTAGCGGGGCAGTGAGACCAGCGCCAATATCGGGCATGTACTTGTTGAGCGTGGCGGCAAGGCGGGCATAGTACGGTGCCAAGTCGATTCGATTGCGGGGAAGAGAAGCGAGGTGCTTGACTAGCTTTCTGCGGGCTGGCTTGGTGGCGATGAAAGCAAAGTCAACAGCGGCGCTGTCGATCATGCTGCGATTGGTCATATCCGGTAGCAATGCCATGAGACTTGCAAGCTGCGCTGCCGGCCCAGCATTCATGGGTTCGTCAACTGGGTCAGTGTCGAGCTGGGGTGAGCTGGACGCTGAGCCTGCTGCAGCAGCGCCTGCCTCTGCAACCTCGTCACTGTCAGTCTCGTCGACCTTCGCAGCAGTACTTGGCACCGCTGCGATGCCAGTAGTCTGGGCTAAAATAGCATGTGGAATGATGTCACCAATATCAAGAAGGTTCTCGTAGAACTTTTGCGTGTCCTGATCTTCCCAAGGGCTTTGATCTGACGCAAATTCTTCGTCCGCACGCTCGAAAGCGGATTTGGAGTCAAGATTAACACCCAATGCAGCAGTAATGCTGGCGGACGCCGAAGATTCGAGTTGGGGCATAGGCACGTTAAGAAGCTCGGAGAGAATTCGCCCCCAGCCTCGAACGCGCTCGAAGCTTTTGGTCATGCGTTCATAGTTCTGCTGTCGATCTTCGAAAATCTCACCAGAGCGAATGTATGCTTCATGATTCCTGCGATCCTGGTCCTGCAGCCTTTGATGCTCCTTGACGATGCGACGTGCGAGCGTTGAAAAGTAGG